CTGCTTCGCTTTCGCTGTCGCTGCCTTGTGCTCCAGGTGCTGTCCTTCTGAAACGCCCCCTCCCCGCGCTTCCCTGTGGAACTTCTGGGTTTATGAAGTGGTTTGAAGGGAAAAAGAAAACAGCTCACACTTTGAACACGAGCACCAAGCTGAAAGAAGGCTTAAACACTGCGGTGCGCAGGCTTTTTCACGATACCACGTGTTGCATTTCTCACAGGATTCTTGCACTAATGGTTTTCCATCTGTTCTCTCTGTAAATGGGTGCACTTTACTGTTTGAATTTGTTACTATGATAAATACTGGATATTTAAGCGTGAGTAGTGTCTTCATTAGAAAATAGCAAAACAGCTCTTGTCTCTTAGTGTATTTTTCAAAAAAAAAAAAGGAAAAAAGAAACAAAGCAATGAATCATAACATTTATAGCACAAGAACTGAGTCCTGTATATAAGCATCAACAGATTGAGTAATTTTTAAACACAGAATTATTTGCGGTGGTTTTAAAGCGCTTCCCCAGCAGTGCTCTTAGGGACAGCGGAGGCGGGACGGCTGCGGTAGTCCCCGGGCGGGTAGGGAGCACACCCCTCCCTGGAAAAGGCGCTTTTTACACCGTCCCCCGCATCCTCAAAGTCGCGATTTTGGGTTTGGCGTGGATGAAAAGCGGAGGCTGTGGCGTGTTGTGCCGTCGTGCGTGGTCCTGTGGTGAAGCCGCACTGCTGCGCACGGGGCTCGGCGGAGCGCGGGGCTCAGACCTCGCCTGATGTCCCTTCGCCCTTGTCATCTCAGATGCTGCGGGAGCGCGCGCAGAGTTTCAGACACGGTGCTGTCTCATCCGTCCGTGCTACGCATTGAATCACTCTCCGAGTCATTGAGGTGTGGGACGGTGCTGCCAGCCGGTGCCTCCGTCCCCTCCCCAGCTGCAGTGGCGCGGCTGGCGAGCCCTCGTCTTGCGAGCGAGGAGGGTTCTTGGGTGCACTGAGTAAACCAGGCTCTCGGTGACGTTGCAGCCTCCGGGTTTGGTTCCTGGGGCGCGTTGGGTAGCGATGCTGAAGCCGAGCCCTGCATTTAGCCGACCTTCCCACCCGGTGTCACCTGTCCTCTGCCCGCAGCCGCTCCGAGAGCTGGATGCACCACGGCGAAGCTGCAGTCTTCTCTCCCGGCTTGGGGTGTGGGTGTCTGCCACGTCCCTCGGTGGGGATTCACAGGCTCGTGCGTTGTCTCCCAGGCTGGGAGGATGCTCTGGTCCCAGGGGAGGGGACACCCGCCTGGTGGGGGGCTCTGCAGGGGTCCCCCCCCGGCCAGGCTGCAAATGGCATTGGAGGGCTTTGAAAATAGTCTTCAGTGGGCATCCGAAGTGCTTAGGGAAGGGAGGGTGTCATGAAGAGATCCCTTGGGATCCAGCTCCCACCAAACCGAGGGGTGCGTGTGTCCATCCGTCTGGCCGTCTGGCGCCGGTGCCCGCACATGGCTCTCTCTGAGCACTGAATTTTTTGGTTTTTTTCTTTAACCTGGCTGTAAAGAAAACTGCTTGGCTGGTGTGACCATTTGTGTGTGCGCATGACAGATACCTGAGCCATACTTGGATTGGGTCCGGAACCAGGGTGGCTACTAAATTCGGAGCGATTCAGTCCCCTTGTACAAAGGTTGCTGTATATTCAGGGTTACCCAGAAGAAGTCTAGCTAAAAACCGAAGTGCCAGCTCCGCCTTATCTCGAGAAAAGCAAGCCGGCGTGCCTGCTCGTCCTCCGCCTTCCTCGCACAGGGGGGTCCGCAGTGAGCTGTCGCGAGCTCTGTGGTGGTTGTACTTTGCTTTAGTCTTGGGAATTCAAGAGAACTCTTCTACCGGGATTAACGGTGTTGAACCAAGGGCTTAGGGGAAGAGCTGTTGTACCGGCTGGGACCTCGGCGGATAAATGCCTTCACCCCGTGCTGGCTGCTCTGCGCAAAGTCTGGTGGGGTGCGTGTTGGACACAAAGCACAATGGTTGAAAGTTAATCTGCGTTTTTTCCAGATTTGTGTGAATAATTGCTGGATTTTCACTCAATCAAACTCTTTTTTCTAATACAAACCTCTAAGGGCTCAATTCTTTAGCAAGATGCGTTCGTGTCCAACTCCTGACTTCTACAGCTGGATCTCACCGCAACTGTTACAGACCTGCCTGAGAGAAAACAGAGCTGGCGTGGCCGTCACCGGGAAAGCCAACGGACACTAAACCCGTCTGCCGTATCCTTTCCTCCTGCTCATTTTGTAGCTGTCACGGTACTGGGGAGTCAGCGACCTGGGGGGGTTCACATCCTGTAGTCGTGAAAAAGAAGGGCTGCTTTGCCAAAAGACTTTGTCCCTTCCGGGTGACGCTGTCGGGGACGGCGGCAGGTCGGGGTCGTGCTGGGTGGTGGGAAAGGCTCCCGGCCAGGGAGTTGGGTCACTTCGCCGTGGGTCTGTCTCGCTGTGCACTGATAAGCCAGACGCTGAGAGCGGCACCGTGTGCTACCTAAAGTCCATCTTGTTGCTACACCGATAACCCAGAGACTCGTGTGGACTCTGCCAGCACTGCCGGTGTCCTCCCTGTCCAGCCTTTTCTTTGCCATGCTGTTGCATTCAGCGTTTCGTCTCCCTCCTGTCTCCACGCCCGAGAGGATCTGAGCTTGGTACAGACACGTAGAGTACACACACCTTGTGCTTTGTACAGTTCCCCGGTTGCCATCCTCCGAGACACTTGCTGGGAAGATCTTTAAGACACTTAAATTTTCCTTTAGCTTTTCTATAATTCTGATGTAAAGGACTTTCTCTGTACAGTATATTATTCAATGCATGTTCTGTTCTCTCTACTGATATATTGAACACCACACAGTCGTGATATTGTGCAGTGGGAAGAGCAGCCCCTGCCGACAGCGGAGGCCTTCGCCTCTCATGTATAAGGAAAGAAGAAAACATATTTTTTCCTTTGCTGTATTTGCTTGAGCAGAGTTTTCTTGTCTGTACATGTGAGCTGTGAGATAGATGTGAAAAGTTCAAAAGAATGCATTTCCCCCCCCCCCTGTATACAGATTGTAATCTGTACAATGAAAACTGTATGTATGAAAAAATGTACTTATTTATAAATGGTTAACACTTGGAAACGGCGCCTGGCCTGGTGTTTTTCACACACTGCGGTCGGCAAAGGAGCGCGCTGTGGAGAGCTACTGGAGAGAGTCCAGTGGAGGGCTACGAGGATGATGAGGGGACTGGAACATTTCTCCTACGAGGAGAGGCTGAGGGAGCTGGGCT